TTTTCCTGTTAAACAAGTATTAGAATTTAATTACCTCCATGCTATATTAAACTTTTTGATTGAGAATAATAATTTTCACTGAATGGTTTAACAAATTCTTGCTGGAGAGTTTTGGCAATAAAAACTTTTGTTGGTCAGATCAATTTTGGTGATGGCAAGATTAGTGTTGGAAAAAATATTTTTTTTTTCTACCTATAGATTGACAAATAACCAGCAAATAATATTTATTTTTTTCCCCAAATCTCCAAAGTCATCTGGTAATATTTTGCAAGCATAGGAACACCATATAGCATAACATAAACATCAAGGAGTCCACTATTCTGAGCATGTGAAAAATAATAGCAATTGGTGTTTAGATAATATTCATAGTAATGTAAACTTGCAAAGAATGCTAAGAAGATCTAGAAATAAGTTTATCTTACTTAACCGCAACAACATTATAATAATTTCTTACAACTTTCAAAACTTGTTGTTGAAGGAAAATGAAGGTGATTTGAAGTTTGTTTTACAACTTCATTTCAAGTAAACTCTACAAATACGTTTTACAAATCCAAGTTCCTCTTCCACATAAAAGATCAACACAAGAAAAGAATATTAGTGGTATTTAATCATGGATGATCCAATCATGGATCGCAGTATTGTGTTGATCGGTGGTATTGGCCCATGAATAGGCCGGTGTAGTCGGTATCGACGTACCATATGTCTGAATCTTAGTACATCCTAATTTTCTTTTTAAAAAAGCCAAAGATGATTGATGATAACTTATTAATGATTTAATCCTAATTAATGATTTAAGCCAAAGATGATTGATGTCTGAATTCATAAAAAAATTATTTTTAAGTATTTAATCCTAATTAATGATAACTTATTATTTTTAAATAAGAATATAGTGTGTATGAGGCATGAAAGAATAGGAATAACAGATTAGAAGGATTAGAAAGTGAATTTATCTTTTTAGTCCCATAAATTTGTCCCTAAATATCCCTAATTTAGGTCTCTATGTAAGAGAATAAACCTAGTTGAGACTAAACATAAGACAATGACCTTAATCGCGTTTAATCTTTATACAAAATGATGATAAAACATAGAAAAAAGCTAAATGCTATCTCAAATTAGACTGAAATTCCATCATATCCTGAGTTCGAATCCTTCCTTTATTTAAATCAATATCTTGATTACCATTAATCACCGATCATGAACTTTCACAAATAAAAGTGTAAGAAAGCGAATGAGAATGAGAGTGAATGTGAGTAATACTGAGTGAAAAGGGGAAAACACCAGGATTTAAAGTTCCAAAAGAGGCCTCAATGGTCAATTTGAGTATTCGGGTTTCTCTTGAGCCGATTTAGATTGGTATCGATCAAATTTTGTCCGATACAACATGAGTTTTCAAGGTACTGAACGACATATCATCCATACTTTGCTGATACCTCACGTGATTCTTGCATACCATCTAAAACAGGCTTATCACTTTCCAATCAGTGGGCAAACCAGTACAGCTCGTTTCATGTTATTTTGGATGGTATGCCATGCAATGCATCAAATCTTGATTGCATATACTGTTTGATTTTCACTTTTCCATTTAATCTTTATTCATCAGTGAAATATCATATTCCTCTACTGTTGTATACTTTAATCACACAAAAAACAGAGAAAGACTCCAATTTTTCCTTTTGCTCTGACAAACACAGAAACAGAAGGATGAGGTGATTCAGAAGTTTTTTCGGGAACAGAGTATTATTAGAACAAAACTTTAAGCATCCTTCCAAAAAGCCACTACTCCTGGGTGGTGGAGCAGCATATTGAGGTGGTGCTATTGCAGGAAGCCCATGGTAGTATCCTACATCAACAAAAACATGATTTCCACAAATTACATTGATTTGTGCTGAACTATATGTATTGGAGTTGCAAATTAGATCAAACTCCATGAATTGGAGTTGCAAAATATAGCATTTAAAATTTGATAAAACTTAAACCTGCAACTGCATAGGTTTAGTATCGATCTGACATCGAACTATATAAATTGATACCAATCTGTATATATTTAATTTTCATTACATTTTCAGTGGTACTAGATAGTGTAGACCAGTGTGTCATCCAATATATTGGTGTCGTAGTAGTTCGATTGATTGCTGAAATCGAAACTGTGTTGACTTCTAAAATCTTAAAGTCCCAAATTTTATCAATTTTTGTCTTTGATCGTTCATTCAGGTGATACGAAGTGGAAAACTCAGAGCTCAAAGTGCCAAATCAATGAAGTTGAAGGATGGTTACATGATTTCTTCTAGTCAGCCTATCCATGAATACAGAGGTTTTGCTGTGAGGCATCTTCTCCTCAGACAGGTCAGCCTATCATACCATTAAGCATATAAGATTACTTCTTTACTTTTCTTATAAAGAACTTCTCATGTATCGTCGGATGCTTTCTTTCTTGGAAGTTGTATTTAGTTTTCAAATTTACTTATAGCAGGAAGCTATGCAAAAGTTTAAGTCTTTAGTTTTTTTTATTCTTAAATTCATATTTTAAAATTAATTTTTTTAAAATTTCTCAACGAAGCCTGGCATTGTTAATTCTATAACTAATTATGTCTATGGAGTGATGCATTTGTCTGGAACAAGAATATGCTGTATGTTGTGAAATTTTCATACTCTTGTCTTATTAATGGTGCTTCCTCCAAGTGGTTTAAGGCTCATAGGGATATAAAACAACGCGACCTTTCTTGTTTGACATCTTCATCTTAGTTTAGATAGATTATGTGACCCAAAATCTTATTGCTCTTTTCAATTTTGAAGGAATTAAGGTTTCATATGTAATGTTTGCAGATAATTTATTCCTTACCTTTAAAGCTAACCTTACATCATGCTCCAACATCAATGCTATTCTCAAATCTTTTGAGCTTCTTACCAACCCGAGGATCAGCATGCATAATCTAATGTCTACTTCCCTAATTATTATAATCCTACAATCAAAGGGTTTACAATTTTCTTAGGATATTGGAGGGAAGCTGACCTATCAAATATCTCAGATTCCATCTTTATATTGATAAACTCCCTTCAAACATATAAAAACATCAAAGCTTTCAAAAAAATCTAAGACTAGTACAAAAGTATGATCTCCTAAGTTGATAGGATGACCTTAATCGGCTCTGTGCTGAATTCAATACCCATACATCTCCTCTTAGATTTGGATCTTTGACGTTTTTCTTAAACACATGACGTGAATGGCTAGAAATTTTTTCTGTAATTTTGATCCTATAAAAACAAAATAAAACTAATCAGTTGGGAGATTATTTCTCTTCCCAAACCCATTAGTGGCTTGGGCTTATATGATCTTATCAATGTTAAATTTTAGATCATCACTAAAAGAACTATTCCTCTCATGAACAATACTGAGTCTCTTTGGATTAGTATTTTGTACTCAAATTGTGATCTGTCTTCAAACCTGGATTTAATCTCCTAATCGAGACTTTTTTTGGTCTCGAAAAAATATTTCTCATCTTTCCCATCGAATCGTAGGACAACCCTTGGATTAATTCTATACCTTTTAAATGACCAACCTTCCTTAATGTGAATGAAACGATGCACTACTACATAGTTTCTGATCTATTTTCAGAAAACCAATAGAACATTCACACTCTCACCACTCTATTTCAACCCCTTCTTATGGAGAGATTTAGGCGGTTACATATCTCTGCTGGATATTATAAGGATCAATGTATCTCAAGCTCAAACCTCGTAGACTCTCTTTCTTATCATTATATTTGACCTTATAATGAAACTAGTGTGAATGTTTGGCCCAATTGGAAGGCAACATGATTACTCATAAGGTCAAGAAACTTTGCCATAACAAACTCTCCAATTCTTCCACCATTTCCTCTCTTCTTTATAGCCAAGTTGAATGCTGCCTACTTTGTAAGCTGCCACAAATTTTGCCAAATATTTTCTTTTTGATTGCTATATTGCTTGCTCTTTTTGAAATCTCATTCAACAAAAGATCAATGACACTTGTAAATTCATATCTTTCTGGCATCTTGGTTTATCATTATATGAAGGGAAGGAGTGACATATTTGGAACCTCATTACTTATGCTCTTTGGACCTGTTTAATAAAAAAATAAGGCTATAGATTCCACAACCATAGTTCCAAGCATTCCATTCTAATGTTTAAGGCACTTCCTCTTTTGTAAAAGGCGACGTCGCCTTTCCCTTCACCCACACATGGCGACGTCGCGTTTTATAAAAATATTAATATATAAAAATCTTTTATAAATAAATAAATAATATATATATAAGATTTTTTTGTGATGTTTTTGAGGTGACGTCGCCGAATCGAATATATATATATATCGAACAGTATACCGAACGGTATATCGCTCGATATACAGTATCATACCGTACCGAGCGAATGTCAAAACTCCAGTACGGTACGATATTTCAATCTTTGCTATCTATATTAGTACCTAAAACATGGTACATTTTGGGTCATGGTTCTGGTACAAGGATGACATTCACTTCTTATATTGGTCAGTGATATATGAGCAATGGGGTTGGTTGGTTTGCTATTTCGTTCATACTACTCATTAAATTGCTTACTCAGGCTGATAATAACATTAGTTAAAGTAGTGTTGAATTGTTAAGCAGTTAGCTGTGTGTTTAACTGGATCAGACAATGATGGTGGTACATAACTTGAAAGTTCTGGTTTGGTTGGTTTTCCATTTCGTTCATGCTACTCGTTAAATTGCTTACTCAGGCTGATATTAACATTAGCTAAAGTAGTGTTGATTTGTTAAGTAGTTAGCCATGTGTTTAACTGGATCAGAAAATGATGGTAGTACATAACATGAAAGTTCTGAACTTAATCATACCAATCGCTGTGTTGAATTGTTATGTCGTTAGCCATGTGTTTAACTGGATCAGAAAATGATGGTGGTACCAGTGATTTAAAAAGCGCTAGGCCCCAAGGTCCAAAAACGCCCGAGGCGCTCACCCGAGCGAAGCGAGGCGCTAAAATGTAAAAATATATAATATAATTAATAAATATAATTATTTAAAATTTTAAATAAAAATATGATCTTTTAAATAAAAATTCTAGTCGCGAGCAGAGGGAAGGCTCGCGGGAGGGCTCGCGGGAGTCGCGAGCAGTGGGAGGGCTTGCAGGAGGCGCGAGCAGCTGGGAGGGCTCGCGGGAGGCGCAAGCAGGGAGTCGCGAGCAGAGGGAAGGCTCGCGGGAGGGCTCGCGGGAGTCGCGAGCAGAGGGAAAGCTCGCGGGAGGCGCGAGCAGCGGGAGGGCTCGCGGGAGGCACGAGCAGCTGGAGGCGCGAGCAGGAGCGACGAGCAGCGAGATCGGGAGCGGCAGCGGTAGCGGGTTAGGGTTGGTAAGGGTTAGGGTTGGGTAAGGGTTATATCGGTTTAGTTGGTTCGATTGAACCAACTAACAACCGAACCAGGACCGACCCAGACCTAAAATCCTGGTTCGGTCACTTGGTTTACCTAGGCGCTCGACCGAAGCACCCAACGCCTGGGCTCGGGCGAGCGCCCAGGCGGCGCCTGGGCTCGGGCGAGCGCCCAGGCGGCGCCTGTTTGAAGCGCGCCGCCTGGGACATTAGCGAGGCGCTCGGGCCTCGCCTCGCCTCGCCCAAGCGCCTAGGCGAGCGCCCGAGCGCCTCTTTCAATCACTGGGTGGTACATAACTTGAAAGTTCTGAACTTAATCATACCAATCACCATTATATTACCCAAAAGCCAATCCCAATCCTGAAGCTGACTTTGCAAGGTCTTAGCTGACAAAGCATGTGGTTATTTGCTGAATCACACCTATGGGAAAAGTGTTGAAAGATTTTCATACATAAAAAATGTTCAAACTTACCTAGTTTAATACCTAACCAGCTAGCCTGGTAGTGTGTAGCGAGTCATTTTCCCATAGGCCGAGGGTTCAAACCGTTGCCATAGTAACTTCTATCAGTTCTATACGTGTTATCATTTTGTTCTCTTTGATAGTCTAGGGTCTAATGCGCTTGGGTGATGTTTGAAAACAAAAGCTTACCTAGTTTATATTATCTATTTTGAGAATTTATTTGTTGGTACACACTCACGGTTTTTTTGTTATTGTTGTATTTGCTGGTACACTTCCCAATACTGTGCTAGTTGTGCATGCTGTATGTACACTAGCATATATGCTTTGTACAACAGCTGCTTCTAGTAGTTACTACTCTATTTTATTAATTTAAAATTTCAGTTTGGTGATTGTTGGAACACTATTCTTAACAAGCAAAGCAGTTCTCATTTTAGTTCTTTCCCTTCTGTGTTTTTTATTCCAAAGATATGTATACATGTCCTGGGCTTTTGTTTTTTTGGACTGGGCTCTCATAGCTCACTTCCTTGCTTGAATTGTAGCATACTTGTGCCGTGATATCTAAATTTCAACTGTCTTTTACTAGGCTATTCTGACACCAGATGAGTAAACCACACTGTAAGCTCTTTTCTCATTTTTCCCTTAGCTTGATTATCATGTATGCTTGGACCCTTTCACTATATACTGCCAAAGAAGGGGAAAATTCAGTTTTAGAAGTGATAATAAAATATAATTTTTTTCTCGATACTTTTTTATATTATACCACGTTTTTGTAATATGGCTCATGCTTCTTGGAAATGCTTTTGAAAAAAATGTTCTTGTTAATATCAATATCCATCTGCCACAATGCAGCATATTAGTTTCTTTCTCCTTATATATGGTTGGATTTGCTTCATTTTCCTAATGAACAATGACTCAGTGTTTTTGCTCTATCTCAAAGACCTTTTATTTTCCCTCAAGGACTCACACAATCAAGCTGGTATTGTCTACAATGGCGGTTTGGTGCCTCTTCTTAAACTTCTTGACTCGAAAAATGGATGCTTGCAACATAATGCTGCATTTGCTCTTTATGGTATTGCAGAGAATGAGGTGAAACTACATCAAAATATTCCTTTGTTGTGATTTCATTTTCTGTTTCTTTGCATAATGCTGCAATGTGAAATTGAGAACTATTGGTTGGACACAAGCTTCTTATTCTTGTCTTTGTTGTTAGGATAATGTTTCTGATTTTATCAAGGTAGGAGGTGTTCAGAAGCTACAAGATAGTGAATTCATTAACCAGGTATGTTGAGCACTTTGATGTTGCCAGATCCATGCTTCCTAATGTGTATATTGATCTTGTTTTGATTTTTTTTTATATTTTGAACTAAGTTTTATTGAAAAATATTACTTCAATTATAGGCAACTAAGGACTGTGTAGCAAAGACAATAAAGAGATTAGAGGAGAAGATTAATGGGCGAGTAAGTTCTGTTTGCAGTATTTCTTGGCTTATTGCAGTATTTATTCAGAACGATAAGGATCTACTTTTAATTGGTGGATCTGTTTAATGGATGTAGACATGGTGTTTCTTGTCTTTTGCCTTTGTAGGTACTAAATCATTTATTATATCTGATGCGAGTTGGGGAGAAGGCTGTCCAAAGACGTATAGCTTTGGCTCTTGCTCATTTATGTTCACCTGAGGATCAAAGAACTATTTTCATCGATGATGATGGTATTGTATCTGTCCAGCAACCATGACATCCTTCTGCTTTTCCTCCTTTTTATAACTAAGGAAATTAAGAAACATATTCTCAATGTAGGACTTGATTTTCTCCTCGAACTACTGGGATCGATTAATCTAAAACAATAGCAAGATGCATCAGTTGCTCTTTACAAGTTGGCTAAAAAATCCCTGACTCTCTATTCTGTTGATGCAGCTTCTCTATCTCCCTCATCTCAGGTTTGCTAAAATAGGCATTCCTTAATTTTGTTTCTAAGCACTTTTAGCAGTAAAACATGTCCCATATTCACAGAAATACAAAAACTTATAAAAGGGTCAGATTTTCAATTCTTGGAGCTAGTTACTTGGAATTTGAAAGTGCTTATGTAATTGCTTTGGCTAGTCTTCTAACTCAAAGTTTTTTTGAATTGTCTGTCTTGACTCTTGAGACTGATCAAACATAAATATTACTTGATCAGTATAAACCTTTTTTCTAATCGGAGAATGAAAATTGTTTTATAGTTTTTTTAATTCTTATGGACATATTTTAAAATTTAATTTTTTTAAAATTTCTGAATAAAGCATGACATCATTAGTTCTACAACTTATTATGTCTGAGGAGTGATGCACTTGTCAGGGACAAGAATATGCTCTATGTTGTGAAATTTGTTTTTGTTTTGGATTTTGCTGCAAGAAGCATTAGTAAATCCATCCACTGTCTAACATAGCACTATGTCCAATGCGTGGAAGTTTGATGAAAACCTGTCATGTGAACGGGCAGTTACTATGCATAGCTGCACATAAGAGGAAAAGTCTGGGTTCTGCAATCATGGTATTATAAATTCGTGAGACTTCACAATGACATATGTATTAATCAATATTCACTTTTTTTTTTTGCAATCATATGTATTAATCATGTTTTGCATATGTATTGATGATTGCTTTAATAGGGCTTGGTTTCCTTGCAGTGCTCATATAGATACTTGCCTATTGACAACTTCAACTTTAAATGCTTGTCAGGTAGGCTGTACCTAAATATTTCAAATTTTCTATTGCACTAACCTTGTTTGTGCTGAAATTTAGATAGATGAATTTATTTACTTTCTAAACAGTAATAAAAACATTGATATACTTGGAGAAATATATATATTCAAGTGCTTAATGATCCATTTTAACTGACCTTTTGTTTTTAAAAATCATAGGGTGTCCTCGATATCAAAGTAAAGATCATGTTGGATTAGGATCTTAAAGTAAAGCAGGGCCCCATGACTCCTTTGCTAGATCATGTTACAATTCATGCCCCAAAGGAGGAAGAGGAGTTAATCCGACCTCCTGTTCTGCCTCTAGAGATTTAATTTGAATGCTACAACCTTTCAAAAGGAATTAGGATTACATTTCTTCTTGATAAGCTTGCGGCAGGTAACAAGCCAAAGTTCTTTTGATTTATGTGCTTGTACTAGTCCTAGATTAACACGAAGGAAGATTGGGAGTCTTTAGGCCCATATCTTAGTTTGTTCCAATTTTCTCAGGAGCGTCATTTGTTCTTATCATTTGTTTTGGTACCCAACATGGTTACCCCTTATTTCGATAATATTTACTGTTTTGTAGACTTGATATTAGTTATTTGAATTCGTTTGTAACTTCCAAAGCTAGAATAGTAGACTAAGATTGATTGTCTAAATTCATTCAAAATTCTGAATATTAGTTAATAGATGCAATTTGATCATTTTTTCGTGTGCTAAGATGAATGGTATGTTCTTCTATCTCAATTGTCTTGTATTTCTTAACGGTGGCTTATTAGTTGTTAATACTCTGAGTTCTTATTCATCTAATGAATCTAACATGATGCAGGCGTTCTTCTCGCTATTGAAATCCGACCATATCATATCAACAAGACTTCTGGAGAGATTGCATTTCCTTCCATGATGTGTGTGTTTAATATTTTGCATATCAGTTGACAATTCAGAATTGTTTTGGCCATTGCCAAATGCTTCAAACCATGTAATTCTTTATCGATTCAGTGATAATTTAAGTGATGGTTCTGATTAAAGGTTTTGTATAGTATCAGTGCACACACTTGTGGTTGAGATTCAGTGATGGATTGACTTGC